GGGGGGGGGGGCAGCGGTGTCCCTGCTCCCCGATAACCTCACCTTGCGCTCCGCCCATGGTGAATGCCCTGCGGCTGGAGTTGGGCTGTCCCAGCCGTCCCTCCCCGAGACCCCAGAGGCCTGGACTTCAGGGCCAGGGGGTGCGGGTGGGAAGCAGGCCCTGACCTGTTTCCTGTCCCCAGGCCCAAGAGCACCCCGACAGCCTCGGCGAGCTGCGATGAGTTTTCTTTTGTTTTGTTTCAGACTTGGGGGGAGTTTTTTGGAGACAGAGTCTCCCTGTGCAGTTCAGGTTGGCCTTGAACTCACTATGTAGCCCAGGCTGGCGTCGAACTTGGGTCGATTCTCCTGCCTCAGCCTCCCTGGTCCTGAGATGACAGATGTGCGCCACAATGCCTGGCTTCTGCAAAAAGCAGTAGACAGGGCTTCCAGAGACTGAGGATCTAGAGGGTGTGGCTACTTCCCGTGACAACTTCCTGCGCCCTCACTAGAGGTGAGGGGACCTTGCAAATAGCTTCTCCCAATCCATATGAACCCCCCTGTATCTCCCAGGGAGGGGGCTGGCCGCATACACAGGACTACGTGAGGTCAAAGACATGGCTTTCCTTTTACATTTACCTGCCCTGGGACAGCAGGGTAAAGCAAAGGGCTGCATGAAGTTTCTGTTTCTCATTCACATTTTCAAGTCGGCCTGAAGCTCTTGCTGAGTGTAGTGTTAGGTCTGTAGCCGAGATTCAGAATTCCTGGTTTAAGGAGCCAAATAAACTAGATGAATAGATAATTATACACTACACGTGTGTGTGTGTGTGTGTGTGTGCGCGTATGCATGTCACAGTGTGGAAATACACAGAGAATGTTTAAAATGAAACATTTTTATTACAGTAAAAGGCATTGCTATGAGTCCCCCTCAAAACCTGCCCCTCCTTGCCACTTTCTGAAGCAGTTCTGGGAGTCTCTTTCCTTTGCCCAGGTTATTGGGGTCAGGGAGCTATTCGGAGTAGAGGGGAGTAGGGACCCAGGCCATAGGAAGCAGGGTTGTGGATGGTGGGATGAGTTTGAAAGGGGGCCGGTTAGAATTTAAAATGGAGGGAGGAGCGGGATGCGGTGGTGCATGGCTGTAGCCCCAGTACTCGGGAGGCTGAGGCAGGAGGATCGCCGCGAGTTCGAGGTCAGCTTGGGCTACATAGTGAGACCCTGATTAAAAAACAAAAGGGGGAGAGCCCAGAAAGGGGAGCTGGTGATCCCTTTTCTGTCCCCAGTGCCTCGCTCTGCACCTGTCACACACACAGCCCAAGAGGATGGCGGCTGCCGGGTGGATGGGGCAGCACCAGGCACTGGTGTGGCAGAGGGCACGGGGACGGGGCTGCAGGCCCTGAGCGAGGTGCCCCGGGAGGGCACACACTGTCCCTGTCCCTGGTGCGGCCGCACCTGAGCTCCCGTTGCCCTCTTCCCCGCCCCAGGCTGCCTCTCCCCTTCTTTCCAGAGAGCGAACCCCTGGGATGGCCAGCGCCTAAGTACCTACCGAGGAGCCCCTTCCAGTCCGCCTGGGAGTTGGGGGCACTTGGGCTGGGGAACCCGCCACTGTCCCCTGAGGGTCTGAGGGAAGCGTCACCCTCCGCGGAAAAGCCAGGCCCTGGACCACGCAGGGATCTGCACGCGAGGACGCTGAAGTCTGGCTGCGAACACCCGGCCCCTTCCCCCCAGGGAGGTCCCAGGGGGGGCTTGGTGTCGGGGAGGCGCAGCCCCCCACCCAGCCCCACCGAGGCTCCAGGCCCGGGAGGAGCGGGGCGCCCGGAACCGGTCTGCCAACCAGTTTAACCAGGACTGGTTTCGGTTCGGAGTTCAAAGGCGCTGGGGTGCCGGCCCCCCGGGGCTGCGGCCCTGAACCCTTCGGGGTGCGCCCGGCGGGGGTCCCTGCTGGAGCCGGGGTCTGCCCCCTGGCAAGAGCTGGAGGTGCAACCAGACACCCGAGAGCGGGGGAACAGAGAGAGGCGGGGGCGCCCCCTCCCTGACTTCCCTTGGGGTCCCCCGCTGCGGCAGGGCAGTCCCTGGAGGACCCCGGCTTGGGGTGGCGCCGGGGCGCTGAGCTTGAGTTTCTCGGTGATGAATATTCATCAGCCTCGGCCCCTGCTGCTGTTTACTTAGCCGGGAGGGGCTGGGTTTCAGGTTCACCTTGACGCGCTGCGGGGCAGGTTCGGCTCCTGCACCTGCCTCTCTGGCACCTGACAGAGCAGCTGCGCCGCTCACCGCTCACCGCTCACCGCTGCAGCCAAGCCTGGGCACCCTGAGGGCGCCCTCTGCTCCCCACCTCAGCCTCCTCCCCAAGCTTCTGCCCGCCGCTCCTCCAGGGACGCAGCCGGGATTACAGGTACGGGATTACAGAGGGCTAGCGAGTGGGGAGACTGAGCCACGGCCCGGTGCTGCCCGCGTGGTGCACAAGCGCCCCTCCCTCCAGTCCGGTCGGAACTCCAAGCACGCGCGCCTGGGCTGCCAAAGTTCCCTCCCAAGCCGCTCTCCTTGAAATCCCCAGCTCCAGCCCCCTGTGACCCAGGCAGCCTGGACCGTGGGTTTCTGGCTGTGTGGTAGGAGCAGCTCCCCGCTCCTGCCCAGGGCTCCCCAGTCCCGTCCAGGGAGGACAAGGGCCATTAGGGGCCCTGCAGAGGAAGGGTGTCCTGGGTTCTGTGCCCAGCTACAGCCACTTCCTCCCCCACCCCAGGCAATGGTTAACTTGCCAGGCTCCAGGGCAGCCTGGCCCAGTCTGTGCAAAGCTCTTCAGGGCCTCCCAGAACACGGGCAGGGCAGTGGGGCCTGTCCCGGGCAGCCGGGTGTGTGCCATGGTGCTGGTCTCCCATGCAGGGAGTGTCAGGCTGTCCCTGGAAGCCAGGAGGACTCTGATGAGCCCCGAAGCTGTGCTGAGAGGGGAGGCCAAGCTGGCATCCTCAGGGGCTGATTTCCATCTCGTCAAGGATTGCAGGGCCCCGGGCAAGGGCCTGGCACTCAGCGGAGCTAGCCCAGGGCCCGGTTGGAGCAGATTGCAGGGCCTTGCACAAGTCCAGGCCTGGAAATGCTGGATGTGTGAGGTCTCCAGACCCCTTTGGGCAGCACATTCCCCCTGGTTCCTGTGATGAGTCCTGGGCTTGCAACTGGGGATACCCTGCTCTGGCTACTGTAGGTATCTGGACAGCGCGCGCGCACACACACACACACACACACACACACACACACCCTCCCTCCCTCCTTTTAAAGTCAAATTTTACACTGTCTGTTATGCCCACTATTGAAAGATTCCTGCCACTGGATTCTTACGTAAGACAGAAAAGCCCCCAATCCAACTATCTTGCAAATTCAGTTTCCACATGTCAGATTTCCCTGAAGGGACAGACACCTGCTTGCTGAGCCTCAGGTGTCCTGGACAGAAGGGCGGAAGGCCTGCCACAGAGCGTCCTAGAGAGACAGAGGTACCAGTCCAGGACACGAGGGTACCGATGGTTCTGGTCCCGGGCGGAGGCCCCACAGCCGAGCACAAGGTTATTCCTGTCCCCACGGTTTTCTGCCAAGCTCCTTGTGACCTGGGGCTCTCAGTGCTCCAAGGAGAGTCAGCATCTCAGGTGCCAGCTGGAAACACGGTATCTGTATGGCAGGTGCATCTGAACTGGCACGGCTGGGAGCTGCGTGCCCAAAGGAAATGGTGTGATCGGAGTGGGTTTAGGAGCTGAGCCTCCTGTCCCTCTATATCCTGATCCTCCAGCACTTCCAGATGCCAGTGGTCAGGGCACCATTAAGGCAGTTACTGGGCACCCACAGACCATGCCAGCCCCTATCCCTCCTCCCGCCCTCCTCAGCAGCCCCTGCAGAACGGCCTGGAACACAGAGTCCTGTGCAGGCCGTGCAGAGCCTGGTGGGGCGAGCTGCCAAGGCAAACCTCTCCCTTTCGCCCTCCAAGTGGCCCCACAGGGTCTCCCCGGGGCTTCTCGAACTACATGAGCCTCTAGGAAGGGGCAGAGTGGGCAATGCGCGGGCTGTTTCCTGGACAAAGAGCTGAGAAGGCTCCCCCCAGCCTGAGCTTAGGAGATGGGGTGCCCTTTGGAGGGGTGCAGCAAGGAGGCGGCTGATGCAGACTTACAGCTCCTTCCCAGCTTTAGTTTGTCTTTAGCTGGGGTTGATGCCCCTTTAAAAATGTCCATACCCATTATGGTGTTTTGTTATTTTATTATTTATTTATTTATTTATTTATTTATTTATTCTGATTTTTGGAGACAGGGTCTTGCTATGCAGTTCAGGCCACCTTGAACTCTCTATGTAGCCCAGGATGGCCTCGAACTCACAGTGATCCTCCTGCCTCAGCCTCCTGAATGCTGGGATTACAGGTGTGCACCACCACTATGATGCCCAGCCATATTTGTTATGGAAAGTCTAGAAATCAGAAAACCAAAGAGGAGAAAGCATTTTCTATTGCTACATAAAGAAAATCACTGGGGCCGGGGATTTTAGCTCAGTGGTTCCACCACCTTCCTCGAAAGCATAAGGTCCTGAGTTCGATCCCTGGTAACAAAAAATGAAAAAAAAAAAAGCAAAACTGCAAAGGAGGTGATCTCTCTGGCGGGCCCCGGGCCACCTGGCCATCCAGCTCTGGTGTTCTTTGGGTCCCGTCTGCTCCTCCCTGGAGCTGTCACAGTCACACCTAGGAGTGCAGAGAACCAGACCCCCCCCAGCCTGAGCCTCTCTGGGCGCTTTTACTTTAGCTCTGGGCACTGTGCTGTTGTAGATCTTAGTCCTTCCACCCTGCTGTCCCCTGCTGCTAGCTTCCACGCTGCAACTGCAGTTTCCTTCCCGGAACTTCTGCCAGCTCCTCCAGAGCCCAGGGCGCAGCTCATGGGAGGAGAAGCCTGGCTTTCCCGTCACGCTCCTCGCTCCTCTCCAGAGGGTGCCCTTGTGCGGGGGTACAGCCCGGGGTGCTATTCTCCCCCACCTCTGGCTCGACCTTGCTCCCTTTGGGAGCTGTCCCTTGCTAATTGCTGTCATGCTTCTGCTCCTCAATTTGGCTTTGCGAAGCCCGTCTCCTACAGCGAGTGGGGGTCAGTGGTGGAGCAAATGTTAAGGGCCGGTGGGACACAGTAGGAAAGAGGCCAGAGAAGTAACATGCCAGGGGTCAGCAGGCCACACAGGGTGCAGGACCTCCGCTCCCAGCCCAGGACTCCCTGGCCTCCCCCTTAGAAAAAGCTCCTCGGACTTCAGCCCTGAGGGTCACGGCCCGGGACCCAAATAGTGTGGAATATCCCAAATCCTGTTTAGGCTGGTGTGAGCTCCGAGCGACACGCTCAGGGTGTTTCCGCGTGTGAGCCCCCTCGGTGGTGGAGGGGAGGGCAGCTACAGTGCCAAAGTCCTCTCTGTCGACTGGCCTAGTGGCTTCCCTGTTGATGTCTGCTTTGGTGGCCCTTTCCCCAGGCCGGCCTTTCTTCTCACATTCTCCAAAAACGTGGGGTCGGCCGGGGATTTGGCTCCATGGTTCCGCCGTCTGTCCTGCAAGCGGAAGGTCCCGAGGTCCATCTCCGGTACTCCCCCCAGAAAACAAACACCTCAAGCGTGGGGTCACACCGCCACCCCAGTGCTGGGCTTCTGTAGCCCTACCTCCAATCCTGTCTTCCGCTCTTGGAATAGCCAGTGATTATAAATGAGCCCAGCGCTCCTCCCGCTGACCTGTCCCCACCCTTTTTGTCGCCCCACCAGTGTCAGGAGCACCATGACCGAGGTCGGGTGGTGGAAGCTGACCTTCCTGCGGAAAAAGAAATCGACGCCTAAGGTGCTGTATGAGATGCCAGAGACCTACGCCCAGACGGAGGGCGGTGTGGAGCCCCCGAGGCCAGGCGCCGGAGGCCCGGACGGCGACTTCAGCACGCGGCTGGAGAAGATTGTGGACAAGAACATGAAAGGCAAGCACGTGAAGGTCTCCAACTCAGGCCGCTTCAAGGAGAAGAAAGTGCGGGCCATGCTGGCCGAGAACCCCGGCCTCTTTGACAACCGGGAAGACAAGGGACAGTGAGGGGGACCCGGGGGGACGCTTGGGCCTCCTGCTCCCTGCCCTCAGCAGGGTCTAGACAGGGGCTCGCTACGCTGGCCTCTTGGTCATAGTGGAAGCCAAGGGGACATTCTGCCTGCTGCCAGGAAGTGTCACTTTTTAGGGTTGTATTTGTGCCCCCAGCTCTGTATAAGCACAGGGATCCCGGGCTCTTCCCACTGTCCCCTGACCATGACATGAAGGCCCTCCAGGTCCAGGATGGTGACCGCCATCCGCAGCAAGGTGGCCGGGCCATGGGAAGGTGGGCACAGTGGGCAGTGGAGAGAGGGGACCCAACCACACTCCACCTTCTCCTGGGCGTGGGCAAGGGTGAGCCTGAAGGCTGCCACCTCTACTCCTTCCGCCAACCCCCGGAGAACATGTCTGCCGCAGCCACGTGACTGGCCACAGGCGGTTTCCTTGGTTCCAGAGCAGAGGTGTTGAACTTGAGCTCACATCTTAACGCAAGTGGTAACTTCCTGGAACTCTGTACCCAAGTGGAGGGCCAGAGGGCCCAGGAGCGCTGGGTTGTGCTGGTTTGAGTCATACATCTCAACGGTCAGCCACACTGGCCAGGAGTCCAAACTGGGGTCACTCTGGCAGGAGCTCAAAGCAGCCAGTTTTCTTTTCTCCCTTCCCCCATAGTATTTAAGATGGATCAGCCCCAGATGAACTCTGGAGCCTTGAATTTTCTTTAAAAAGTAACTGTGGGTTTCTTTGTAATAACAAAGCTGCAAAAGCGGAGAACGCATGTATACTCACATTGCATTTATGGAGGTGGCTGTTTTAATTTGTCCGGGGTGGGCTTGAACTCAGTGATCCTCCTGCCTCAGCCTTCTGAGTCTGGGATGACAGGGGTGCATCACCATACCTGGCTATCTTGGGACCTTTTTGTTTGTTTTTTTGTTTTTTGAGACAGGGTCTCAATATGTAGTCCAGGCTGGCCTTGAACTCACTGTGTAGCCCAGGCTGGTGTGAAGCCTGTGGCAATCCTCCTGCCTCAGCCTCCCGAGTGCTGGGACGACAGGCATGCACCACCACACCCGGTTTGACCTTGGGAACATTTCTGTAAAGAGTCCTCTGAGCCCAGTTTCCTTCCTGTCTAGGAGCAACTGTGTAAAACCTGTTTCATAAGAAGTGGTCTGGGGGCCAGGGATTTAGCTCAGTGGCTCCACTGCCTGCCTTGAAAGCACAAGGTCCCGAGTTTGATCCCTGGTACCAAAAAAAAAAAAAAAAGAAGTGGTCCATAGGAGTGGCCTGTAGCAGTTCCATAGCTCAGTTAAACACTGGTTCCTGTCCCCTTCCTTTATTATGGAATTCTGCCATTCCCATGGCCTCAGTTTAAGAACAAGGCAAGAGCTTTCTTCCAAGAATGTTAGGTCTGGCTCTTTCTCAAGCCACAAGACCAAGGAACTGAAAAAAATTGCCTATATCTCTGGAGCTCATGGCGGAAACAGGCAGAGACCACGCAGAGACCTGCAGCTTCTAAGTCAGCCCCCTGTAGGCTTTGGGGGACACCCCACCCCGGAAGCTGTTGCTGGGGAAATTTATTGCCAAAACAAACAGGCCTGGACAAGGGGGCCTTTGTTAGGTGCCTCACCCAGCCTGGGGAGTGCAGGGGACCAGTGAGGCAGACAGGGGCTCGGGGACCAGAAGGGGGCTTGGGGTGCTGCCTCCTCCTGTCCCCACTACCAAAGCATTCTGGTGTCTTACAAGCCTCTCTAGGAGAAGCCCACATTCACAGCCCTGCCCCCTGGTTTTGTCCCGTCTTCCGGATGAATTAGCCGAGGCTTGGGGGGCGGAGCAGGCTGACCCTGGGCCAGGCACTGGCAGAGGTGGCGCAGGCTCCAGTCAGAGCTGCAGGTGCACCTGACCCCGGCCCCACAGCGGCTTCCACACTGGGCGAAGGGGACGGGAGAGAGGGCAGGGTCCAGGCCTCAGGGTCCTGCCTCTGAAGGCCCTAGGTTCCGGCGCGGGATGAGGGAGCCTCACCACAGGTTCCTGTTCTCCCCAGCGATGTCCCTGCCTGGCCACCTACTCCGATATCACTGTGCCCTCTTCAGGGAGAGGGACCTTGGCCCCGCCCTCTTGCAATTCGTGGGGCGCCTGGCTGGGGTGAGAGCTGGCCGCCCAGGAGTCAGAGCCCGGCAGCTGCGGGTTTTCAGACCAGAGGAGGAGCAACTGAGAATGCAAATATGTGCAGGAGCCGGGAGAGGCTACGGGTTATCGAGCCCAGTTTCACTGGGAAGCAGCCCAAGGAGGAAGGTGAGGCCGGGCAGCACGGGGACCTGCGTCGGCTGCAGAGGACAGCGGCGCCCCCTGCTGGGCGCCGAGCCCGGCCCGAGGAAGGCGGGAGAGAGCAGCCCAGGTTAAACTTTAGCATCGCACAAGGCTTGGGCTTTCATTGCACAACTGGCGCGGTTTCCAGAGAACTGCGGGAACATCGGAGCAGGCTTAAAACTGGGGGACATGCAGCCCCTCTCAACGCAGGTGGGCGCAGCGCCTCTTCACGCCCATACCCAGGAGTCATGGCCCAGGGCACAAAAACAAGGCTGGGTCCCTAAGGGCACCGCAGGGTCCCCCAGGGTCCGAGAGCGGGTCGCACTCAGAGGTGTGAACGCGGGGCAGGGCGGCCCGGGAGGAACCCACAGCGCACGCGCGTAGTCAGGGAAGCCGTTCACAGAGGAGCAAGTCCAAGGCCGAGCGGTACCAAGGAGTCAATTCTCTGCTCCTGGCTTAGTCTCAGCAAACATTTATCAGCCTGGCTGCTCTCCATTGCTTGCCCACGTCCTGGGGCAACAGTTGTGCTCAAGGAAGCAAATGTGCAGGGTGTGGTGGCACACACATGTGATCCCAGCACTCGGGAGGCTAAGGCAGGAGGATCGCTGGGAGTTTGTGGCCAGCCTGGGCTACATTGTGAGTTCAAGACCCTGAACTAGATAGGGAGACCCTGTCTCACAAAACAAAAAAGCAAATGCATCTTGGCAGTTGGCTTATATAAGAGGGGTGCAGATGGTGAAGGTGAAAATGACAGCTTCGTGGGTTTAGAGGCTGGGCCACTGCATCCATTGCTTGCTTGTCTGGTCAAAATTCCAAAACAGGGACAGGGGTTTAGCTCAGTGGTTCCACCGCCTGCCTTGCAAGCCCAAGGTCCCGAGTTCAATCCCCGGTAACAAAAACAAAAAAATTTCAAAACAGACCCAGTTGGTCTGGGTTGGAACTCAGAGCCTGCACCCTGATTGCCTCCCAGTGACACTGTGGTGTGGCCCAAGGGCGACCGAGGGGAGCAGCGAGGATCGAAGACCAGGACATTCGCTCTGGGCCACACTCAGACCCGTTAAGTCACAGTGGGTGTGGCTGTCCAGATTTTCAAAGCTCCCCTGTGGGTGAAAACCCCAGGGATCCAGGAATCATCTCTAGGAGAGGTGGGAATGCAAATCTCTTTAGTAGTTTTATTTTTGGAAAATGAAATCCATATATTTGTGTACCACCCCACCCCCACGCCCCGCCCCGACACACAAAGTTTCCAAAGGTGACACAGATGGCAAAGCTGAGGAAGCAGCGCATGCACCTTCCAGCTCCGTCTGGCTGGGATCGAATATGTCTAGGGACGGGACACTCATCACCGAGCAGAGAGGACCCTGAAGACTCTCCCCACACTGAGGTGCAACCTGTGGGCCCCTTGGTGGTACAAAGAGTAAATTTAATCTCTTTTCCACATCAGCATGCTTCACATAACAGAAGGCAGCAATCAGTTTGAGGGAAAGGCTATAAAAATATCCTGTCGGGCCAGGGATTTAGCTCAGTGGCACCGAGCCTGCCTTGCAAGTGCAAGGTCCTGAGTTCAATCCCCGGTACTGAAAAAAAAAAAAAAAATCCTGTTGGTGAAGAAGGTTTTTTTTTCTTTTTGGTATAAATCAATTCTAGCTAGTTTAAGAGAGAAAAAAACAATGTGCAGAGACACTGGGGCATTTGGAGGTGGGAGGAGGAGCACACACAGACAAAAAGAGGGACCCCGGCGGCCCTGGAAACTGTACTTCTGGGCTCCCATGGAGCACTTAACCACATCACTCCCCAGCCTCTGACTCTCTGTTTCAAAGTCAAAGTATCATTTTAGGGCTGGGGATTTAGCTCAGTGGTTCCACCGCCTCCCTTGAAAGCACAAGGTCCCGGGTTCAATTCCCAGCACCAAAAAAAACCCTATTATTTTATTAAAAATGTATTATTTTACCTTTATTTTTTATTTTGGGATAGGGTCTCAGTAAATTGCTAAATTGCCCAGCCAGAGCTTGCACTTGTGATCCTCCTGCCTCAGCCTCCCAAGCATGCTGAGATTTCAGGTGTGCACCTCCATGCCTGGCTCAAAGTCTGACTTGTTGATGAGGTATCTGATTGGCTATTCTGGCTTCAGTAGCATGAATCCCATGGCAACAGACAGGGCTGCTGGGAACCAGCTCACTGGAGGGGAAGTCACCAAGCCTGCTACCCTGGGGGCTATTCTGGAAAAGGCATAGGCAAGGTCCAGAAAACCACCAGGGTTGTGACTCTGTGACACCCTGACCTTCCACTCAGCAGCTGAGACCCAACTGGGGATGGCTCCAGGGCCCCAGAGGAGGGAGGGAGGGAGAGGCTGTGTGGAGGCGGTGTCTCTACCGATGGCCCCGTGCACCAATGATGCCAGTCATGGTGCCAGCCTCTCATAGAGCCAGCCTTCCTCCCCTCTGCGGGTCATGGGCCCCAGGGAGGGGTCCCCCGTGGGGAGGCCCCGCCGGAAGACGATGCGGTCGTGCAGGCGGTTCGTCTGGCCTTGCCAGAACTCTATCACCTGTGGGTACAGCACATAGCCTCCCCTGGGAGGCGAAGCAAGGTCTCATTATGTGGCCCAAGCTGACCTCGAACTCACGCGATCCTCCTGCCTCAGCCTCCCGAGCACTGGGGTGACAGGAGTGCACCACAACTCTCAGCTCTCTTGAAGGAAGCCTTGGGATTTGCCTGACCAGGGGTCCCAGGAGGGTTAGATTTGTAATTCCCCACTCAGGGGTCCTGGGTCCAGGCGTCCCTTACCAGTATGTCGGCTTGGGCACCTCCTGCTCCCGGTAGAGCTGCTCCAGTTCCTCATTTTTCTTTCGAAGATACTGCAGGGAGGAGGCGGGCAGCGGTGGGTGGTGTATTGAGCATGCGCAGACTGGGGCTGTGGGTGTGGGCGGTGCAGGGGACGAAGGCGCAGCGCCACTCACCTCGCGGTCAGGGATCACAGAGCTCTGGCGGCTGACCACAGCCCCGATCTGGCTGCTCTTGGGGCGGGAGTGGAAGTAGCTCTCGGCCTCGGGCTCCGGCAGCCTCTGCACCAGGCCCTCCACGCGCACCTGCTGGGGCGTCCTGGCTGGGCGGGTGGAGCCCTTGGCCCTGCCTGCCACTCCGGCTCCAGCAGCCCCCGGACCCACCTGGCCCAGCAGGTGTGGGTCCTGTCCGGGGGCCGGCCCTGGGCTCGGGCATAAAGTCACCTTCGCCACCCCACCCGGGCTGTCCCTGGTGCTCACTCACCTGGCGGTGAAGGGGCTCCCAGTAGAAGACAAGGGAGGCAAAGGGATTTGAGTCCTGGAAGTGACAGAGAAGACAGAGGCTGCCATGAGGCCAGGGCGCGGCTCAGCCTTCAAGGGACGCAGGGGTCCGCAGGGCACAGGCCCTCATGGTCCATTCATTTAATGGTACCTCGTCAAACCCTCAAACCAAACCGGGCGTGGTGGGCTTGCCTGGCATCCCAGCACGCAGGAGGCTGAGGCAGGAGGATCTCCATGAGTTCAAGGCCAGCCCGGGCTACCTACTGAGACTATCTCAAAAAGCCAAAAACAAACAAAACAAAAACAACTCCAAAAACAGACCCACTGTCAGTTGTGGAGACAGCTCAGAGAGAGTGAGTAACGCACCAAAGCTCACACGGTAAGTGGGAGAGCTGGGCTTGAGGAGTCTGACTCCAAATGTAAGGCCTGGCCACGTCTCTCACCCACAGACTGTGGGGACTGCGTGTGGGGCTGGTGCTGACCCAGAGAGGCCGACATCATGGGCTCACTCCTCGGGGCACACACAGTGCCAGCTCTGTGTCCAAAGCGAGGTGTGGGGGATGACAGAGACGGAACAGGTCCGACCGCTCCTCCCGCAGAGCTTCCCGTGTGGCAGAGGGACCGACAGTAATCCCACAACACATCCCTAAAACCCAGGCACACATTCAACCCCCGGCAGAGAGGGAAGCTGGGAGTTACAAGGGCAGAGGACAGCACAGGGCCTCACTGGGGGTCAGTCAAGGAGGCTCCTTGGAGGAGGCAGCATCTGGGCCAAGAGCTAAAGGAACAGGAAGTATCTGTCAGGGACAGAGTGGGGCAGCTCACTGGTTCCCAGCAAAGAGAGGGGCAGGTGCAAAGGCCCAGGGACAGGAGGGAGTGGCCAGAGAGGAGTGGGGTTGGGGATGGAGGGTCAGGGACCGACTGAGAGGCCTCACCAGTTCCTTTCCTTTCCGGCTCTCATAGTTGGTGAAGAAGCGAAAGCCGTCCTGACCAAAGCCCTTCAGCAGCAGCATGCGGGCGGAGGGCTTTCCGTCCCTGGGACACACAGAGGAGACCATGTCAGGGCCCAGGGGTCCCCGCTCCATTCCCACCTGCAAGTGGCTGGTGCCCCCCACCCCCCTCAGCAGAGCCTCCTCATCCCTGAGTGCCCCCAGGGGATGTTCCTGCAGAAACAGGGTGACAACTCCGCCAGGAGCCTATGATGGACTGAACCAGGGCCCAGGGCCTCCCAAACCCCCGCATCCAGATCCTCACTCCCGCCACTGTGTTAGATATGGGGCCTTTCTTCTTTTTTTGCTGGTGGTGGTATAGGCCAGGCAAGTGCTCCAGCACTGGGCTTTGTCCCCAGCCCTGTTTCATTTTGAGACAGAGTCTCACTAAATTGCTCAGCCAGTCTAAGACTTGCAGTCCTGCCTCAGCTTCCCGGAGTGCTGGGATGACAGGCTTGTACCACCAGGACTGGCTGAGATGTAGCCTTAGGCAGAGAGGGAGCCAAGGCAGGCAAGGGGTCACATGCATCAAGGACAGGCGTGGAAGCACATGGCTGTAATCTTAGCACCCAGGAGGCTGAAAATTCAAGGCCAGCCTGGGTTACGTAGTGAGACCTTGTCTCAAGAAAATCAAACGAGGACAGAGATGTAGAAGGCACTGCATTTTATCACTGAAATGGGATTTAGTGGCTTGCTCTTCGGTTTACAACTAAGGACACTGAGGCCCAGACAGTACAAGTTACTTACCTGAGGCCAAACAGCATTTTAATAACAGAGCTGGAACCACAAAGTTGGCCACCACTGGGTTAAGCAAGAGCCTCCCAGGCTTTGACTTCCTCTGTAGCCAACTGTACTGGGCCCGCAGCTGTGCCTACCTTGTGCAGGTAGCCAGGCACATGGCGTTGGCTTCCCCTATGTCAGGACACTGGACAGCCTCTTCAAACCAGGAAGCAAACTGCTTCATGGGATCCAGGGAGGCCAGGTGAGTCTCCTCAAATGCCTGGGGAGGGAGTTTTAGTCTTTAGAAAGATGCATAGTACATACAATGTACCTGGCCCCCATCTAAGCACTCTAAACAGTGTTTGTTTTTTTGAGGCAGGGTCTCGCTATGTAGCCCAGGCTGGCCTCGAACTTGCAGTGATCCTCCTGCCTCGGCCTCCTGAGTGCTATGATTACAGGCATGCGTCATCATACCTGGCTCTAGCCACTTTCCAAATATTAATCCACTCTGTTCTTATAACAATAAGCCCCTAACAAAAAAGAGTACCTAGAAAGTAGAATCTGTGTCCCACTTTACAGGTGACAAAACAGGCATAAAAAGGTCAAAAACCCCCGGCTGGCTGGCACAGCCAGTAAAGGATGGCTGTGGAGGTCAAGGTGTCACAATTCTCTATGTATCCAAATCTTTGGAGGAGCTAAAAAGACCCGGGCTGCACCCTCTAAATCCTCACGCAGGTCTGAGGTTTAATCAATGACTGCATTTTCGGGCCGGGGATTTAGCTCAGTGGTTTCGTCACCTGCTGCGCAAGTTCAAGGACCCGAGTTCGATCCCCAGTACCAAAAAAACAAAAAACAAAAAAACTGCATTTTAAGCAAGCTTTTGTGCAAATGCTCACATGCAATCTGATTGTGTAACCACAGCTCAGGATTCCCAAGTCCAAAAAGTTCTCTTAGTCCTGGCCATGAGGAGGGAAGCTCTCCCGGAGCTGGGCAGAAGGAATGACCATGATGAGAGCTGAAGTTCTGCCTCCCCTAATTCACTTACTTTATTTATATTTTTTGGAGTACTGGAGATTGAACCCAGGGATGACTGCAGGGCCTTCACACTGAGCTACAGACCAAGGCCTTTTTTAAAATTATGAGACAGGGCCGGAGATTTAACTCAGTGGTTCCGCCACCTGCCCCACAAGCACAAGGACCCAAGTTCAATCCCCGGTACCAAAAATATATATAATAAATAAAAAATAATTACAATAAAATTATGAGACAATAGCCAGACATGGAGGTGGATCCCTGTAATCCCAGCATTCGGGAGGCCGAGGCAAGAGAATCACTGTATATTTGAGGCCAGCCTGGGCTACATAGTGAGTTCAAGACTAGCCTGGACTACATAATGAGACCCTGTCTCAAAAACCCAAACCCAAAACCAAACAAAAAAATTAAAATAAAATAAAATTGTGAGACAAGGTCTCATGACATCACTGAACTGCCCAGACTGGACTCAAACCTGTGATCTTCCTGTCTCAGCCTCCCCAACTCCTGGGATTACAGGAGAGAATCATCATGCCCGGCTACTTATTTTATTTATCAAACATTTTATAAACTACTTTTTAAATACCTAAGTCCACAGCATCCTCATGGGAAAGGGGGCCCGAGACAAGGTCAGTACACTCACTACACAAGTGACACGGCCACTTAGTGGCTGGATTCCAACTCAGGGTTCTTGCTAAGCGGGGCCCACCTTGGATCGCAGTCCCCTGACCCCATCCTCCCACCAGGTGACCCCAGCCCTGGCTCCCCGCTGGGGCCCTGAAGGCGCGGCCCTCCCCGCTCCTCGCAGGTGACCCAGGGCCCCGGCCGCACCTCGCGGTCCCCACGGTAACTCTTGCGCATGGGTCCCAGGTCCATGACAGCACCGCGACCACACAGCTGGCAGAGGTACCCTAGCCACCTGGGAAGTCGCCGCAACGTCCCCGTGACGCCCAGCGGCCCGCGCGTCATGGGAGCCGCCGGCCACGTGACCCCGCGCCGCCCGCCCCGGTTACGCTAGGTTCGGAACCAAAGTCCCAGCGCAGACGTCCAAACCGGGAAGGAAGGATTTGCCAGGGGCCCCGGCAACCTAACAGGTCCGAATCCTCGGAACCGATGGGCTTCCGGGATTGGAGGCAGGAGACGAACGCGGAAAGGTCATTGGTTAGGTTTTCCGAGAGCGAGGCCAATTAGCTGGCAGAGGAGTCGAGTGACCAATGAGGAGCGCCTCCGGGGGCGGGGACAGAGACACAAGGAACCGCTGTCACCACTGTTGAAGTGCACGTGGTGTGTTCAAGGCGTAGGGACGGCGGCAGCCTGGGCAGGGGCAGGGGAGGAGGCCTGCTTAGGCCTGTGGTGAGTACCAAGTGGCTGGGTCATGGGAGGTGGCTGAGGGTGTACTCTGGGGGCTGGGGAGGTGCCCCGCGTTCAGGAAGGGACAGATAGCCGATTGCTGCCACCATGGTTTTCCTCCACCCGCCTAATGGAGAGAGAGTTGGCTGGACTTGCTTTCTGGTTGAAGCACGTGTTTCCACGTGTGACGTGCTGTCCTCCCCTCCTCCCAAGCCCCTTAGTTGAACCTGTGTGACAGCAATTAGTGCCCTTCATGGGACCATGCCTCTCATGCCCCTTGGGTTCCGCTACCCTGAACCTTATTCCAAAGACACCAAGACTACCATCATTTGAGCAGTTTACTTAAAAGCCAGGACCTCACTGGGCATGGTGGCGCAGGCCCTTAATCCCAGCCCACAGGAGACTGATGCAGGAAGATCTCTGTGAGTTCAACGCCAGGCTGGAACTACATAGCAAGACTGACTCAAAAAAACACAAACAAAAAACCCCCAAGAGCTCAGCAGAGTGAGTGGTACATGTTCAAATACTCACTCAGCAGAGATTTGTTAAAGATCTGCACTGGGCCAGGCACTAGGCCTAATCTGAGAATCCTAAAGTGAAGACCAGGACTGGTCCCTGCCCACCAGGGGCTGGTAGTCTCCGGAGAGGCAGAGGCATGGGCTAGAGAGCTGTCGGTTCTAAACGTGCTATGTGTGAGGTAGAGGGACGCAAAGCCAAGCAGGGCAGACATGAAGGAGCAGACCCTGGGTTTGTCCTCACGAGTGTTTGCCGATGACAATGGACCGGGGATCGAGGGGAAGGGGGAATTGGAGCGCTGGGCGCTCACAGACCTCCTTGAGAAAGACCCGGGGAGATGGCAAAGGTGGCAGGGGCCAGGCTTAAAGACACAGTGATTTGAATTGTTCCTCCTGTGATATTGAGGAGGCAGAAACTAGTTCTTTTTTTAAAGATAAGAAAAGGAAGAAAAAAAGTGCTAGATTCTGACAGCCTTTCCCTTCCCTAGCAATTACTCAGGAAGTTTGTAGCTGACTCCCCTTTGTCGTGAAGATAATGAGTAGATTTTTCTTGTGCTTTTCTGCTTGGTTGGATTTGGTGTCCAGAATCACAAAGTAGCCCTGAAGTGCGGCTTGCTGTTTCTGCTGCTGCCCCGTAAGGGCTTCGGAGAGGGAGAAATGAATTTGTTACTAGAACTACTTGCTTGCTCGCTCTTTCTTTTTTTTCTTTTTTTGGTATCAGGGATCGAACTTGGAACCTTGCGCTTTTGAGGCAGGCACTGGAACCACTGAGCTAAATTCCCAGCCCTTGCCCTTTCTTTCTTCTTTTCTTTTCTTTCCTTTCCTTTTTTTTTTTTTTGGTACTGGGCATTGAACTCAGGACCTTGCACTTGTGAAGCAGGCACCAGAACCACTGAGCTAAACCCCTGGCCCTTTTCCTGTCTTTTAAAAAATTTTATTTTATTGAGACAAGGTCTCACTATGTGGTCTAGGCTGGCCTTGAACTCACTATGTGGTCCAAGCTGGCCTCCATCTGGCCCTGGAACTGCGTTTTTCTAACACTTTGTGAATCCATTCCCCAACTTTGTAGTATTGCTAATAGTTTCTCAAGAAAGGCTTACATGATGAACCAGGTGTGGTGTGCACACCTAAAATCACAGCACTCAAGAGCCTGAGGCAGGAGGATTACCACAAGTTTGGGGCCAGCCTGGGCTGCATAGCAAGTTCAAGGCCAGCCTGAATTACAGAGAGAGACCCTGTCTCAAAAATAAACAAACAAATAAATAAATAAGGCTTACATGAAGATATTACAATTTTTTTTTTTTGGTACGGGGATTGAACTCGGCACCTTGGGCTTGTGAGGCAGGTGCCGGAACTACTGAGCTAAATCCCCAGCCCGATATTACAAATTTTTATCTTACAGAGAGTTATACTGGTTCCTTGATATGAAACCAAAAACTCTATGTTCAGGGACTATGCTTTGCCTGTTTTCTTCTAATGCTTTTGCATTTTTTATTTTTTTAAGCCACCTATTTGTCTAATCATTTGATAGGATTGTACAGTTCAATATTTCACATTCGTGATTGGACTTGTGTTTTGGGACCTGGCTGTGGTGACCAAGTGGCCGACAGGTAGGGAGGGTGAGACCAGTGGCAGAGAGGTTCCACCACACACTGCTGTGTAGTCTGAAGTGGGAGCTTCGTTGGGGGTGGCTGACGCAGGAATATTGGGCCGGGTGTGTAGAGGGCCAGGACTGAGTTAGGAGGAGGCCGATGGCAGCCCCGAGGGTGAGTGTGCCGGGGGCCTGCAGCTCAGGACTTTTTAGTACTGGAGTGAGCTCAGCCTGGGGCCCCAGCAGCAGCACCACCACCAGGACACGAGCAGGGTGAGTACTCGGTTCCCTGCCAGCAGTTGCCCGGGCTCTGAACAGGGTACTGGGCTCAGCTGGGTGGGGTGAGGGGCCCAGCCCTGTCCGTAGCTGAGGGGACCCTGTGTCTGGCCCTCTGTCCCCCGAGGGGCTCCCCAGCTGACCACAGTGTGTGGACCTGTGGCCGCCCCTCTGAAGCAGAGCCGGAGCCTTCTCTCGGGACAGACTATGTCCCTCACTTTCTCCTGCTCCGCTCAAGACCCCCGCCAGCAAGGCGCACACAGGAAATGCTGGTCTCTAGTGATTGTGTGTAAGCTGTTTTTATGAAGCTTCTCTCTACCTTGAGTACTATGCTTAGTGAGTGGGGCGTAGGGTTCTTTTTTTGCACATGGTATCAGCATGGAGACAAAATGTTAAACTTTCAAGGGCTGAGTGAAAGCCAGGGGTGGTGGTGCCTGCTTGTAATCCCAGCACTTGGAGGCTGAGGCAGGAGGGTCTCTTTGAGTTCAAAGCCAGCCTGAACTGCATAGCAAGACCCTGCCTCAAACAAAAACAAAGGACTGAATGACATCAGTCTAAGTCCTCAGACTGGCAGCTTTGGGTTTGCTGAAACTCACCGCCTCTGTCCTGTGTTTTGGGTTTTTTTTGGTACTGGGGATCGAACTCGGGACCTTCCTGAGTTCTTTTGAGGCAGGCTGCGGAAGCACTGAGCTAAATCGCTGGCCCCTTGCCTCTGTCCTGTGATCGTGGTGGTTCCTATGATCCTGAGGCCATGGTGGTTCCTTTCTGTTAGTGTAACACAGATGCCTGAGATGATCAGTTTGAAAAGAGGGCCAGGCATGGTGGTGCATGCTCGTAATCCCAGGACTCAGGAGGCTGAGGCAGGGGGATTGCTGCAAGTTTGAGGCCAGCCTAGGGTATATAATGAGTTCAAGGCCAGCCTGGACTACATAGTGAGACTCTCTCTCTCTCTCTCTCTCTCTCTCTCTCTCTCTCTCTCTCTCACACACACACACACACACACACACACACACACACACACAAAGCCAAAGGAAAGGTTTCTTTTAGCTCACGGTTTTGTAGGTGTAGTTCATGGCTAGCTCTCTTGCTTTCAGTCCCGTGGGGAGTCACAGGCATGGCCCCCAGAGGCCCAGTTTCTTTCACTAGGCTCCACTGAAGCACCCCCCCCCATCTTGGGTTGGGGACCAAGCTTTCCACTCATGGGGACATTCAGGATCCACAGCACCCCCACTTTCCTGGCTCCTCTTACAGAAGCCAGAGCTGCCATTCTAGCATTCCACCACTTGCCAGAAGCCAAGCTGGGACCCCCAGTTGGTGGAAGCAGTGCCCCAATTCTGCAGTCACACACTCCCCAGTATTTTACCCTAGGGCAGAGTCTGGGACATTTATCATGAGTTTCATTTCTGGTCCCCACAAGCCCTGAGTGTCTGAGACAGTGCACTGGAATGTGTGGGTGCTGGAGAGGAAGGGCCCCCCAGTGGTGGTGGGGTTAAGTGCACCCCGAGAAGAAGGGGTAACTAGGAGTCTGAAATTCGAGGGAGCAAGCAGACAGCCTCTGGGGGAGGAGGGGCTCCCATGAGCTCAACAGGAAGGGAGGCCCCCAGACCACTGCTTGGGAAGGTTTGGGGTACAGTAACTAAGAACAGACCAGGGCTTAGGAAGCAGGGAGAAGATGGCTTCATTTTTGCTGTTTACTTTGGGGTTTTTTGGTACCGGCAATCAACTCAGGTCCTCGAATTTACCAGGCAGGCGCTTCACTGCTGAGCTACATCCCTGTCCCCATTTTTGCTCAGTTTAATAATTTTTTTTTTCAGGGCTGGGATTTAGCTCAGTGGTGCCACCACCTGCCTCGCAAGGGCAAGGTCCTGAGTTTGATCCCCAGTACCAATAAAAAAAAAATTTTTTTTTCAAACTAAGGATTAAACATGGGGCCTTTGCACTGAGCTACAACATCCTTAGCCCTTTATAAATTTTCTATTTTGAGACAGTCTCCCTAAGTCACTAAGTTGTCCGGGCTGGGGTCAAACTTGTAATCCTCCTGCCTCAGCCTTTCAGAGTGCTAGGATGTGTGACACCATGTCAGGCATCATTTGTATTCAGAATCTAAATAATCTACAGCTCAGTTTTCGGCTCAGCAGCCCAGCTCCTTCCCCTGGGCCAGGTCTGAGCCCTCTTCTTGCCCTAACCTGGCTTCTTCAAAGTAAGTCATGAAGGTGAGGCTGCCTATAACTTCAGCCTCGTGGTCCAAAAAGTAGGGGCCTCACAGGGGCCCTGGAAAGATGCTCATAAAGGTGGGCTGATTGGTCTAAAGGAAGTTTGTGTGGAAAAATAAAGTACTGGTTTGGATTTGCCCTCAGGCTCAGAGTCCTGCGGCAGCCAAGGGTGCAGGGCGGAGAGTCGCAGTGTTGAGCGACCCCAGAGCAGGGAAGGGTTAAGGGTGGCCTTGGTACAGGCGACCCTGTCAGAGCGGCTGCACCCAGATTGTCATCAGGGGCTGCTGAGGATCCCTGAGGCCTCTCAGGTTCAAAGACCCTGGCCGTGAACCCCTGGATAAAGGATGGAACAGAACCAGACAGGGCCCAGTTTGCTCCAGGTCTTCCTAGGCTTTGTCCTTCCCTCCTCTTCCACTAACTCAGGCTCCCCGGGGAGCAGGGGTGGCCGAGGAGAGCCCTGCTCCCGCACCCAGCATCTTCATTTGCGCAGGGTGCCGAGGAGACATGTCTGTTTCCGCTTGGGAAACGGGAAGTGCTGGTCTTGGACCAGCGCCCAGGAAAGATTGTCCTTCGTGCCTGAGAGCAAAGCTGAGGGAAATGTGTAGAAAGGCCCGCTGGCTAATGAGCCTTCCCTCCTGGCCCACCCCCTTGCTCGGTGCCAGGGAGGCCCTTCCAGTCTGTAACACAGAGCAGATGGGCACACCGCACCCCTGCCCTGGCTGCTAGGGCAGCCCCAAGTCCTGGGGCCCATGGGCTGATGGAGAGGTCTCTAAACCAAGAACCCTTCAGCTGTTCTAGTGGTTTTTGGTTTCATGAGACAGGGCCTTAAATTCACTATGTAGCCCAGGCTGGCCCTGAATTTGCAGCCATCCTCCTGCCTCAGCCTCCTGAGTGCTGGGATAACAGGCGAGTCTGGTCTGGTATTGCCCAGGGGCAGGAAGGGTCTCCCCGTCTACTGACAAGAGACCAAGGGCAGAAAACCCAGCTCCACCTGAGACCTGTGTCTTGTATCTCTTCAGCCCTGGGAAGTTGTTTGCCAGCACAGCAGGAGGCCAGCAACAGAGGAAGGAGTGAGGACAGACACACAGCTGGGTGTCCTTGGAGGTGAGTGAGGGCCTCCTGCTCTTTTGGGCTTGGAGCAGCCTGGATGCTCTGGGCCCCGGGAGGCTGCACCTTAATCTGCACAGCCGCACAACCCGACTTCCTGAGTGGAAAGCAATCCCCGCCAAATCTCAGCTCGCACCCCTCGGGGAACCCCGGGGGCCCGGCCGTCTCCGAGAGGCTGGGCAGGGAGAGAGGAGCAGCGGAGGTGGCAGCGGCCTGTGCTCGCCCCACACCTGCCGGCCCTGTTCCTTGGGCATGGAGCCTTCTCCCCACTCCCAGCCTTAGCCGCCCGATCTCCCAGCAGGGTGAGGTCCTGGGGACAGCCTCAGCTGTCCCAGGCCTCTTCGCCCTCCAAGGTGACAGACAGGAAGTTCAATCGCTGAGGTGCAGATTTTGCCTCAGGCAACTAAATTTATTAGCAAGAAAATTTTTTTGTCAGCCCAGCACCGACCAACAAAGTCCACTGTTAATAAAGGATAACAAATCTGTCACTTAATTCAGAAAACATACCTCAAGCAGTTACAACTAAAAATAAAGTTGAATTTGTTTAATTTAAAAGCCTCAAAAATAACAAGCAATATGTTTTTAAAACATGTAGTAGACGCAGTCATCTATTATACAATATACACTGTACACAGCCGGTGGCCAGGGGCCGGGGAGGGCACCTGTGGGTGTGGACCTGGGGAAATGCGGTGTCACTCGGGATGACATGAAGTTCATACCCTCATCACTGACCCCCCCAAACCCCAAATGAGAGCAGGCACAGGAGCTGACAGGAGGGGACCAAGGGAGCAATTAAATAAAACTTGTTAAAGCAAACAATACACAGTGTTCATCATCGGAAGTAGAGTATAAGGCAACGTTCTCCGCAGAGGGACGGGGCCCACAGCGCCGACCCTGGCTGCAAGTTGGAATGTCTGGAGCGGTCTCTGCCGCTGCGAGGGCGGCCGCCCGGGGAGGCTGCGGGGCCCTGGGACGTCCCTGGTGGCCGGGGTGGGGCGGGGGCTATGGCACGATGGGACCCCGGCAGTGTTGGGGGTGCTGGGGCAGGAGGGGGGTGGAGGGGGCTCACTTTGCTCCTCGACGGAGTGAAATGCACGTTTTCCTTTGGAAATAAGGGTCCCACGCGTCCTGGGTCAGAACGTCTCGGGCAGGGCCCCACTGGGCAGGGCCGCACTGGGCAGGGCCAGTGTCCCTGGGCCAGGTGGCCAGCACCCGAGGTGAGAAAGGGAGGGCGGGTGCAGAGCCCCTTCCTGTGGGGACTCGACCGCACACAGGAGCCGGGCCCTCGGGACTGGGGGAACCGAGGGTCCGAGTCTGCAGGGCCTCCCGCTCGCTGGCCTCACAAGTTCTTGGTGACCAGGTGGGTCTTGTAGTGCTTGGTGAGGTGGTCGCTCCGCATGAAGCGCTTCTGACACTGGGCACACTCGAAGCGCTTGTCCCCTGGAAGAGGCGAGGCCTGTCACCCACATAGCCACCACCGGCACCGGCAGCCCCGAAAAGAGGCTGCCACAGCCTCAGCGCCTTGGTACGAGGCTTCTTGTTCACACTTCTCGGTTCTCCACTGACCCGAAGTCCCATCTCGACCTGGTCCACCCTCTGCGGCCTCCTCTGCCCGCCCGGTTCCTGTCCTTCGCCAACAGCCCTGCGCCTCAGCCCCTGCCCCCAGCCTCTCCCCACACCTGGCTGCGTTGTCCTGACCTGTTTCCCCTGCACCCACGCCCCCCCCCCAAGCTGCCCCAGGCCAGGGCTGGGCCAGGGCCGTGTCTGCTCTCGTCCTGTCCCACCACCCTGGCCGGGAGCCAGAGCTCTGGCACCACAGACGCAGTCCCTGGGCTGCTCCCTGGGCCAATTGCAACAGCAGCGCTTCCCACAGTTGGGTCTGGACCTCCGGGAACCCCAGGGCCTCTGCAGACAGTGGGCAGACAGTCTTCTATGTGCCACACTTCTCTGCCAGTACCTTAAACTCGGAAGCAGGATGTCAAATGTGACACCAGAAATAATGCTGCTTAAAACATAAAAGAGTAAAGAAAAGATGAAACGATTTAAAACACATACTGAGGTAAGTAACAGTTGGAGGGCACCCAGATATAACTAAGAAGGTGGATTAGGAGCCAGAGGGCCTGGGTTTGAGCTGTCCCACCATCAAGAGCTGTGACCTGGACACCTCAGGTCAGCCAGACAGGCCTCTGCCAGTCCCGCCCAGTCCGGCCCCCTGCACGCGCTGGGTGACGGCGCAGCTGACCTGTGTGTGTGCGCGCATGCCTCTGCAGCTCGTCACTACGTGTGAACCTCTTCCCACAGAAGAACCAGTTGCACACAAAGGGCCGCTCGCCAGTGTGCAGGCGCACGTGGGCCCGCAGCAGCGATGTCTTCCGGAAGGTCTTGCCGCAGTCTGGGATGTGGCACACGTGCTTCTTCTTGCCCTGCTCCCCGGACCTGGGCATCGGGGAGAGGAGAGGGGAGGAGACCGGACAGAGGGTGACAGGCCGTGGGGGCAGTCAGTGAGCACAGCGGAGGCCCCGCCCTTGCTGCCCAGCCCGCTCACCTCTTCTCCCCGTCCTTGCAGTTGGGACAAGTGCAGGCCATGCGGCGTCGCTTCTCCCCCGGCTGCGCCTCCCCAGCCAGCGCCTGCTCCATCTGCAGCTGGATCTGGGTGGGGCTCAGCCCACTGATGGTCAGGTTGTTTCCGGAGACATTCTGTACTGTCAGCTGCTGCTGCCCTGTGGGCATGGGAAGGGTTGGGTCAGGTACTTGAGTCTCAGCTATTAGGGACCTCAGGCAGGCTCAGAAGTGGTGGTTACCCCCTGCTTTAGATGGGAGCCCAGGACTCAATGACACAGCAAGGTCACACGGCTAGAAGTGGCAGAACACAATCTGAAGTCAGAGAGTTCACATTAATGCGATGCCTCAGCCCAGTGTGGTGGCTCAGGCCTATAATTCTAGTTACTCAGGAGGCTGAGGCAGGAGGATGGCAGGTTTGAGTCCAGCCTGGGCAACATAGCAACTTAGTGAGACCCTGTCTCAAAAGTTAAAAAAAGAGGGCTGGGGATTTAGCTCAGTGGTGTCTTTGCCTGCCTCATAAATTCAATCCCCGGTACCAAAAAAAAAAAAAAAAGTTAAAAAAAGAAAGGCTGGGGATGTAGCTCAGTGTGGAGGCCCTGTGCCACTAAAAAGGGTCGGGGGGAAGGAAGCAGACTCTATTGACTTTGGGAAAAATCAAGCCCTCTAGAACACCTTGTCCTCCCTCTTCAGGTTCAAATGAGAAAACTGGATTGCAGAAAGTGCCACAGATCCATTAAACATAGGGAGAGGAGCCTCAGGTTTCACGGCCTTGAAATGTGTCCTTTGTCCAGGCACGTGATGCAAGGACCACATGGTGGGCACCCTGGCCTCCCCTTCCCAGCCAGGCCCCTTCTGCTCCTCCTGGCAGAGCTCTCAGGAGCCCTCTGGGACCTCGCCCTGCACCCCGCATCCCTTGGAAAGCGCTCCTTTCCATGTCCCTTCTCCATTGCCTCTGAGGCTGCCATTGTGCAACAGACAGCGTGCTTCCTCTATGCCCCAGCGCTACCGCAGAGCCAGGCGAAAGGAAATCACGGGGCGAGCCGGCTGAAGGAGACTGGGCGTGACCGCGCACCTGCTGCCCAGGGTCAGGTGGCCCTGGGTTCCCCCCACAGCTGCCCTCACCGCCGGTGTTGGTGATGGTGACCGGCACACCCTGGACCTGGACACCGTTGATGTTGATGGTCTGCATGGCCTGCGCGGCGGCCGCCAGCTGCGCAGCATTCAGACTGATGACGCTCCCGGCCGGCGCGATCTTGGGCAGCGGCCGCTCCTTGCGCAGGATGGCGGCCGAGTGCTTTTTGCTGCTCCCGCTCAGGCTGGGGGCGCGGGGCGCGGGGCTGCTGCAGGGAGTGGTGGAGGCAGTCACAGCTGTGGCTGGCGGGCTGTCCTGGACCAGGACCGTCTGCACCTCCCCAGAAGGCGTGCGGATGTAGACCTGGGGGAGAGGCAGCGTGACCGAGCCGCTCCCAGCCCGGCTGTCCTCCAACCAGCTCACCTGCTGCCCACACCGTGCCCACCACGGCCGGGCGGTGCTGGCAAAAGCCGTCTCTGATCACACCGCTCTTAGCACGGAGAGCCAGAGCACTAGAAGGCAGGGTACCGCAAATGACCATCAAAGGAACAACCACAGGTTCACCTCGGTCCTCAAGAGCCATGCAGTAATGAGAAACAGTTGTTCTCCCATTCAGACTGGCAAAGATGGGAACATAAAAATATACTGCACATTGCCAGATGTGGTGACACGCACCTGTCATCCCAGCACCTGGTAGGCCGAGGCGGGATTGGCCTGAGTTCCAGGCAGCCAGGCTACATATTGACTTCAAGACCAGCCTGAAGTACATAAAAAGTGTCATTGTCGGCCAGGGATGTAGCTCAGTGGCACCGTGCCTGCCTCATGAGGACAAGGTCCTGAGTTTGATCTCTGGTTACGGGGGGTGGGGTGTGCCATTTTCATAAAAGGATGAAGAAGCTGGACGCGGGTGTGCGCATCTGTAATCTCAGCTACTTCAGAGGCTGAGGCAGGAGGATCTCAAGTTGGAGGCCAGATTGGGCAACTTAGCAAGACCCTGTCTGAAAATAATAAAAAGGGCTGGGGATGCAGTTCAGTACCCCAGTAGTACAAAAACAAAAAATAAAAAAAGCAGTTATACTTTAATCTTTCTGCATATGTGTAGTTATTTCCTCAGGAAAACCTGGCCTAAGTCCTGTCCCTTTCACTCTCCAGATGGAGGAGCTCATGGAAGAGAAGGGCAGGGCACCCCAGCAAGGGCACATACCTGAGCAGATGCTGCCTCAGGCCCTCACCTCACCTGGCAGCACATAACACAGCCAGAGGCGACCTCTTGCCTGACTTCTGGGTCCCCAGCTCCAATTCAAGGCGCTCTTCTTTCACACCCAGGAAATCACTCAACTTCCAGCTGTCAAGAGTTAGTTCTCTCCAAACAACTCCATTACAAATTCCTTGATGGCAGGAGCTGTTCCTTGCAGGTTTCTCTTTTGTTTTTATGTGGATTTTTTTCCGGGGAGATAATCTCACTAAATTGCCCAGGCTTGCCTTAAACTTGCAATCCTCCTGCCTCAGCCTCTTGAGTAGCTGGGATTATATGCACACATTATAATAAAGAAGCTTGGTCCCCAATTTCAGGGGCAGCTGTGGAGAGCGAAGGGTTGAAAGAACACTGAAAGACTCCTAAGCCCCTTGAGATTCTTGAGTCAGATAAGAACATCATGAGCCAGGATATGAACCTGGTACAAAAACAAGGATGTTGACTTTTAAAGAGAACAACGAATATAGAAAGGATTTGAATGTCTACTGGACAAGAAAGTAACATTCCCGGAATTGTAAAGATGTATTTGACCTTTTCTCTGTAAAAATAATTAGTCACGAGATCATGAGGGGAGGAAGGGAGGGAGGCTGTGGGTAATGAAGGA